AACTCTACTGAATCAGTCACAAACAAATTTCTAAGTCTGTGGGCTTTGTTACCACTACTGGCTGTGGTTCAGCATTGATAAAAATAAAATTGAATGTACACTATGTGCACTCTGTGGGAGGATTCTTTTAGTGCCAACGGAAACATTGTCTGTTCGTCTTTGAAGAAGTACAACATTTGCTACTAAGGAATGAAAATAGAATTTTCCTAAATTACACACACACAAGAAAAAGAAATTATAAACCAAATGGCATCACTGTTGGTCTTAATGTGATGTAGGACACGCTTATACAAAATGTCTTCACACACTAAATGTCGTCAGTGGTATGTCTTCTAAGAATAAGGTGGGGTATTTTTTTAAAGAGGATTTAGTGATAATTTAATGAAAGCACTTAGGCCAGTGTTTTAATAAAAGCTAGGTTGACTACCCCTAATAAAAATTAAAGCATCACTCTATTGTTACTATATTACAAGCAGATAACAATAATGATTAACAAGATGAATGTTTCTTCCATTTGTTTGAAATATCTTAAAGGATTTAAACATAGTTTTATTTTTGAGAGGTATCATGGGAGGAGTTGCAAAGAAAACTCAGCATATGCCATCAGTTGCCTCTTGGATGCTTTTCCCACAGATGCTGAGGTGAGACTGCCTTTTGCACCACCATTGAGATGTGTCCAGCTGACAGCTGATGTGTGCACAGCACACAGCAAACAAGTGCCCCCAAAATAGCCTCCAGCAACAGTTCTGGACCACCCAGGGCAGGGTGTTAGCAAACATCTGTTGTGGTGAAGGTCATAATTAGAATTTCACTGTATTGCCTACAGGTTAGTTAAGAGATCTTCAGGAGCTTACTCATTTACGGAAAAAGACACCAAATTAATTGGGCTTAGCTGTTTTGTTGTTATAAAATAACTTTTTGACTTATGAAATTTGGGAAAAAGCCCCATGGTGTCATGGAGGGGTTACCTGTGGTAGCAAGGGGCAATCGTTATTTTCATTGTTTTGCTTTGGGGCACTAGTGCCTGGTGTGGCACATGATGGATGCAGAGATATCTTTAGGTGGGTAATCTGGGACCTCCCATGGAAGCTCTTGGTTACCTTCTCATTTACCACACAACTATGGCTTGGGTTTCCCAAGCATCTTCTCAAGGTGGTAACAGTGCTCAGGTCAAGAAAGCTTTACACATCTCTTCTGGAGGAAGTCAAACTTGGAGGCACTTTTATCTTGGGTTTGGAGGATCTCCCACTCTTATCTGGGGACAATGGCATTTAACTGAAGAACTGGAAAGGTTGAGGTGCAGAATCTTTGCTTCATCCTTGCGTTTCTCTCTAGAGTGGTAAGCATCCTCCAAGTACCAGGACACACACAGTCATAGAATGGTTTGGAAGGGACATCAAAGATCATCTACTTCCAACCCCCCTGCCACAGGCAGGGACACCTTCCACTAGACCAAGTTGCTCAAAGTCCTGTTCAAGTGGCCTTGAGCACTTTCATGGATGGAGCAGCCACAGCTTCTCTGGGCAACCTGTGCTGGTGTCTCACCACCCTCATAATAAAGAACGTTTTCCTAATACCCAGTCTAAGTCTACCTTTGAGCTTAAAGCCATTCCCCCTTGTCCTGTCCCTACATGCCCTTGTAAAAAGTCCCTCTCCAGCTTTCTTGTAGGCCCCTTTGGGTATTTCTTACACTGTCTTTAACCAAGTGTGCTGGGACCTTGCTGCTTGATTACTCCTAGCTGTGATGCCAGGCAGGGAGGTGCCCACTATCCCTCATATTCTCCATACCTCCACTGAAGGAGAGGACAGGCATTGGAGCCTGGTTCTGACAGGCCCCGCAGGCTCCCTGAACCACATGCCAGTATCACCCTGTACCATAGCAATACCTCTCATTACTGAGCCACCTCCTGTGCAGGCTGCAAGTGCTACAGAGGGTGTTTATTAGAGAGGAGAGTCTGAAGGACAGGTAGGAAGCAGTACCATTTCATCTTTCTGTTGCTCACATACCACTCTCTTTGAAACAAACATTCCTGACTCCAAAGTAGTAATTAGCTAGTTTTACTTTAATTGGCAGAAAATATGCTTTGTCAGCTGTGAATGGTGCTGTAGTAAGAAATGATTTGGCTGTGGTACCTTTATATTGGGTGGCATGCATAGAGGAACAGCAACTGCTTCTTCAGACATCAAGAAAAAAGATAATTGCATATAAAGTGCAGGGGTTTAATGTAATTGTCTGGGGGAAAATGAGCATGTGTGAATTGGGGGCTTTAAAAAAAAAAAAAAAGCTGTTCTTTGTGTATAAAAACTATTGTACTGTGACTTCCATCTCTACCAAACTGTTGCAGTATTATTCTCCATAGATGATAAATTTCTGAGCCAGTAAGTCACTCTTCATTTCTTTCAAATCTAGACCTCTACAGATCTCTGCTGTTTATACTGTGAAATATTTGAGGACTCTGCACCATGATCACATCAATCTGAAGCCAGTGGGTTTTTCTAGATGTGTAGTTAATCAGGAACAGGTTATTTCCCAGTCCTCCTCCTGCAAATACATTACATAGGCACTCAGACTTCCTTTTCGACAGCTGAGATTTGAGTAATAGCAAGGGGTTTCTTGCATCAGAATAATGATGAGGGGAAAATGGATGAGAGTTTCAGAGAAAGCATGGAAATGTTATCTTGAGCACAGTGGTCCAAATCCTGCAATGCACTGAGTGTATCCTTAAGTCATTCTGATGTTATGGGTATTAGGAGTTTCAACAAAATGCTGAGCAGCTCTTGGATTTGGGACTTAATGAACAGTTGTTACTTAGATGTTTGTTCTTTTTAGAAATCACATCTGTTTTCATGTTATTTATTCTGCTGATTGGCTTCTCTGGATTGCGTTTGGTCTGGACAAATAAGTCACAAAACCGGGAAGAAGCAAGCTTGCAAAATTTAAACAGCAAGACTTCCCACAGACCAAAGCTAACATTGGCTAGCAGTGGGGTTTGGGCTGGTTTTGTGTCATGAATCCACACCCTATGGTAGCTGGAGAAGACCAGTTTGTAGGGTGTACCACCTTACACACTGATGGCAAGAACTAATTGATGGAAGATCAGAAAGAAACTAAGGAAACCTCCTTGGTCCTACGGTCCTTTTACAATGAAAGAATAAGTCCTGCTGCACCGAAATGGGTACTCCAGGGTTTTGTTTATACATAGACAGCACTGGTTTGAGGGTGGCGTTCCTGGTGTCTGCTGGGTTCCTTGTCCTGTAACATCAAGACTTGTAGCACCCTGTGGGTCAGTCAGTCCCCCAGATCAAGCAGCGGCATGAAGAGATGACTCCAGAATGCTGCCCTCTGAAAGCCTTCAACTTTGGGCTAGAGGAGCATTGCCTGTGTTACTCTGAAGCATGTCCTGTATTCTGCTTTACGTAGAAGCAGCTGCTGTAATGCAGCTTGTCGCTGTTCTTTGTCTTTTTTTTTTCTGTCTAGTGCTCCCTCTATATATGAGGTGTACATTCACTCAAGCATGCGTTAAAATGTGAAGGTTTGAGGTAAACCACATAAGGTCATTTTATCCATTCCCCAACAATACCACAGCATAAATGTTGATGTATTTATTTAATGATTTGCCTGCCACTTCTGACAGATGGTTGTTTCATCTTACGCATTTTGTGTGATGGAGTATCCCCAACTTTTCTTGACATCTTGCTCAGTTGTTTTGCTGTTCTTTTATGCGGTTTGTTTTGGGCATTGTTTGCTTAGTTGAATTGGAGTTACTGTTTGTTTCTTCATTGGTGCTTTATCATGTTGCTGTTTCCATATGCTTCACATAACTTTTTTTCTTGTAGTTGAAGACTGATTGCACTGTATCGTCTGGACTGTGTTAGAATGAGGAGTTTGGGGAGGGGACACGGCACCTTCGAGGCCATTGATCCCATCTTTATAACTTTGCCCTTTTAGCTAGGAACAGATTATTTGCGTAGTGGTTCAAGATTGCACAGGCAGAATCAGAAGGACCAAACTTTACATAAACCATTTATACTAAATGTTGGGAATGCTGGCAACATAAATCAACTACAATATCTATTGCAAATTTATCACTTTATCAGTATTATCTTTGATAAAAGTGGTCCAAACACATGGGGAAGTGAACCGTACCTTGGGAAGTTTAGCTGCCTTTTAAATTAATTATTCAGGACACACAGACCCTGGCCCCTTCAATGTATAGTAATTCTTCCCAGCCAGCACCCAGGACTTTTAACTTCAGTGGCAATAATAAATAGGAAAAGTCTCAGGTGAAGCCAGTATTTCCAAGTAATTAATCATCTTCCCCTCATGGTCCCTCCACCTCTTTCTTGGTTTTCTTTAACGAGGGAATTTCAGTAATAAATCTTTAATGATATATGTTAAGAATCCTTCATTAATTCTTGTCTACTTACTTCTCTTTCTTTGATGCTTTATGTTGTATGTTAGGAAGTTAAAATGCATATACAAGAAAAAGCAGTTCTAGAGAGCTGGTAAATTGGCACAGTCTCTGAAAGGTTGTTTCTTGGCTGTTGGATGTTGCGTGGTATATTTGCTAATAGGGATTGTTGATTAATACTGGTTGGAATGTCAAATGAATGCTTGCATACATTTACAGAATTGCAGCATGATTGCACAGGAAAAGGTAAAGAAAAGAAAAAAGTGGTTTGTCTGCTCCTTAGGTGGAGGTGAGCCTGATTCTAAGTTTTATTCTAAGCTAGTTCTCAGTTTCGTATGTTCAGAGGCTGTGCGTGTTGTAAAGTCTTGGGAACCGCAGTGGCCCACATAGGAGCACAGCTGGGCACATTGCTGCTGATGGAGCAGAGGGAATGTATCTTTAAATAATTCTCGCTACATGCGGGCAGCCGTCAAGCCTATTCGATGTGACAGGGACAGATGTGACAGATCGGTTCTGACACACTTCCATACCACAAGTCCGTGGCTGGAGGTGACTGGTGTCCTTCCTCTGGTCCCGTCCCTGCTGCAGGACAGCACAACGACGCACGGATGAACCTCGCCATCGCCCTCACTGCTGCCAGGTACGGCGCTGCCACCGCCAATTACACTGAAGTGCTGCGCTTGCTCAAGACGACAGACCCGGCCAGTGGGAAGGAGCGTGTGTGTGGTGTGCGCTGCAGGGATGTCCTAACAGGTGTGTGCCTTCCTGGCAGTGGTGGGAAGCGGAGCCCTTCAGGAGAGCCTACTCTTCATTAAAGACATACAGAAATAATGAAACAAGGGAGGAGCAGGGAATGCTGCTGTTTGTAAATATCAATGAACTGACAAAGGAGCCATCTTCCCAGAGTGCAGTAGCATACCATTAATGTCAATCATCTTTAACTTCTGTCAGATTTTTCACTCAAATCCTAGCATTTTGGCAGGATAGGCTAAGCTTTACATCCAAACCCTTCTGTCAAGCAAAGATGATGTTGTAAAATGCTACGTGCTGTACAGTAGTAGTCCCATTTACCAAGTCTATGGGTTGAGACTGAAATCTCTCTTGTTTAAGAGGCAGATTTCAGCTGAACTTCTTCCATCCAGTCTCTCTCCTTCTGCCTTTGCAGATAAGATTGAATTTCACTGTAAAACATTTTCTTTCGAATCTGGTGTTATGTGAAAACTTTGTTAATTTTTAAAAATCATTCCAGCTGTTCTGTTCAGACAAGCAGGATATGTTTTACAGTAGGTTAAGTTCATAGATAGATTAATAACAGAAGGTGTCAGTGAGCAGGAAAACAAATGGTTTATGTGATTGATACTGTTTTCTTTCACAGGGCAGGAATTTGATGTCAAAGCCAAATGTGTTATCAATGCTACGGGACCTTTCACAGACTCTGTGCGTAAAATGGATGATCAAGAAGTACCAAACATCTGTCAGCCAAGTGCAGGCGTGCATATTGTGATGCCTGGTTATTACAGGTAACGATATTCAAAGCCTAAACCATTTGTAACAGTCTCTGCTGGTGTCTGTAATAAATAAGCTTGCAGAGATGCATTTGTGGGTTTTATGGTAGCTTTGAATGCATGATTTGATTTTTATTTTGTGGGGTTTTTTTAAAGAGGATTCTGCTCTGTGCTGATTTGAAGATCAATTTCATATATTCCGAAGAAGACTGAAGTCTTGTAGTTCTTACATAAAACTCACCGAGGCAGAATTCCAAAAAAGATGGGCGTTTAGGCAGAGCATCTACAACAGACTTGTGAAAGGCGCCTTTTTCAATAATTAGTTTGAATTGAGTGTACTGGCTGCTTGTTCACTCTCCTTAAGAAAAGAAGCAGCATATGAAATCTTCCAGAGAGGTTGCTGCCTTCACAGAAGAAGTCTTGTCCTGTTAAACATGAAACTCTCTATGCAGTGACACTTTGCCACTGTACTTTGCCATGTTATGACTCCACTCATAATACATATTAACACAGCATGTATGCCATATAATAAGTACTTCAAAATAACACGATTACATTTTGATGCTGCTGTGGCCACTAGCTCATGCACCATTCTGGTGGAGAGGACTTGCCGCCCCTGCTGACCTTGTCACAGAGGTCCCTGTGGCACTCAGTGAGCACGCACTCTGTGGACTCCTGCTTCTGTCCTTATTTGCTGTGAAAACCAAATCCCTTTCTACCAAGCAAGCCTTGTCAGTTGAAACTCAAATATTGCCTTTGGTTTCTGAAGTCATTAGCATCCTAATGGAAATTCACATTTATGGACTTAGCTCAATTCTGTTGATACAGTGCACTTACAATAATGCCTTCCATATCATCATTGCACTCCTCTGTGAATATAAATTTAGACTTCCAGTGCACAACATGTTGTTTTTGCCAGAGCTGTCCCAACAGGACATGACCATGACTGTAAAATTGAGGCATTTCTGGCCTAGTGTAAAATCACTCTTGCATTCTGTTCTTTTTTTGGTGTCTTTCTACATGAAAAATGGGAAAGTGACCTGGTAGCTGCTTGAAAGCACTAGCAATGTGGAGGAATGGGTTGTAATTCTAGTTTCCTCACATGCAGTGAGAAGGATGTGTGTGATTGACTTTATGGCCCTACAACAAAACCATGTAAAGTTTTAAAACTTTGACTCGCTTTGTAAATTCAAAGTAGAAGATAGCTTGGTATGCATGAGAGCTCTAATTTATTTATTCTGTAATAACCTAATAATTTTAATTGGAGATGTAGAGAATTCTTGTTCTCCTTGTTCCCCTGTGTATGTCAGCATGTGGGCATTACTTTTCTTGTGAAATAGTATCTACCCACATGCTGCCTCCACAGTGCAGCTGATTAGATAAAACTGCACTGAATTTCCATGAAGTGGGATAGCTTAAACCAAGGAACTGTCTGCTAAATAGAAAATACTCGTGGTATTTAATGTTAGTTGTATCAGGTCGTCTCTGGGTGCCAAGGAACACTCCTCAGCAAACGAAGATTGTCATTTCACTAAGACCGCTTGCCTTATGGTAAATGTTTTATAGAGAATTTTGGCCCATACTCACACGAATTATTTTTTTTTAAGAGGTAGCGTTTTTAGATATAAACATAGTTAAAGTTTTGTAAAACTAATGTTAACCTAATGCCTTCATTTCCCGTGGGTTTCTTATTCATTTATATTCTTCATTAATAGTCCCAGTATTCCTCCTCTCATGAATCCTATTTTTAGTATACACGTATCTATTCCTGTAGCTGCAGCAAGTCCCTCTCACTGCCTATTGTTTATTATCTGCTAATTGAAAGTGGTTTTTGGCTACCTCTGTTCAGATAGGCTTCCTGCCTGAAATGTGTCTATGGATGAAATACTTTATTTCCCCTCCCTTCTGACAAATGTCAGATGTTTTCTGTCTTTCTTTATTTTTCCTGTCTGCTCTGCATTCCAAATCCCATGTAAAATTGTCTGCTAAACCTTAGTTCTACTCTATGGAAAATCACCTGTTTGTTCTCTAACTGCATTTGTGGTGCATTTGTCAAATGCTTCTTCAAGTAGAGATCTTGCTTGTATCTGTTCTGCTCCATAAAATGCCATGTCCAGGAATGAACCACTTACTGACCTCAACTTCAAGACTTCTGATCTGACCTTCAGTTAAAGTATCCTGTCTTGTTCAGTAGTCTACAGCTTCTTACATTCTGCAGGTACTTTAGTCATCTGTTTTTGAGACTTTTCCCCTTATTTGTCTTATGTTCAATATACATTGTGCAACTTAACTGCGCTGCTTTTTGGAAAAGGAAGCTCCAACCGCATTCAGTTGTTATAAGTCAACTCTTCAATATTGTACAGCTGCTTAAACGTTAGGCCAGGTATCTTGATGGTTGTTTTGCTGACAGCCATTTAAGATCCATCTGTATTACACTCCAAGACCATTTGTCTCTTTATTTCTGTGTAAAGGCATTGCTTTATACTTCATATTAGAGTTTACAGTCCTGAACTTACCCATTTCAGTAGTCCTTAAACACTGCTAGAGAAATCTTACAGTGGCTGGTGCTGCTATACTTCATAGCTCATTCTCACATTTGTAGCCCTAAGAATTCATGTCTTACAAAAACGTGCTGTTTCAGGACTATTTCTGGTGTGCTGCAGATGACTCCAGAGGCATTCCAGGTCAGCCAACATTTGGGTTTTAGGATGCTTCTTTTCAATGGGAAACATCTTATTTTAATTTGTTCTGGTGGCTCTTTAGTTATTTATGTAAGATGGAACAAACATAGCAATGGGAGATTGAGAGTGTGCTTCCTGGGATAGCTAGTAGTCATTAATTCAGTAAATTAATTGGCATATGGAGTACTGTTTCATCCTTTCTCATCATTTGCTGTGTAATCTAATTGAAAACACTTCACACCATTGGTGTGGTGAAACTTAGTTTTGAGTCTTTAGTTGTTTATCTTCCTTATTTTTAAGAGTTTTTATGAGATCACATTTTAAAAAAAAATCATACTTTTGAGAAAATGTCTGAAGTTTTCTGAATATTCTGATATTGTATATTAAACCTCTGGTTTCCTCTGTCTCTAAATCAATAGCTTTTTCATTTTAAAAAGTAATCATTTGTCTGACGTGATTTACCTTTCACAAATCTGTGTTGACTTCCCCTATTAAATTGTACCTCTCCAACCGTATGCTTAAGCTGTCTATAAATATCACCTAAAAAATGTTCTAATATACATGCTATGTATGAAATTTTCAGCTTCTCTTCTAGCCTTTCCAGATATTGAAAACTTACCTTCAGTGATCTTAGACTTCCTAAAAATAATAATTCAGTGGTTCAGCTGGTGGCTCCCTAGAATAGGTAATTCATATCCAAGCAGCTCTTTGTCTGCCTTCAGCTTATAGTGTTAGTAGTTATTTGAGTCCATTGAATTAGTCTCCTCTGATGGTCTTTATCACCCCCTAAATACATACCCTCCTGTCTTCCTTCTGTGAACTTCCTATATGCTCTTTCTTTTACCAGGATCAGAGGCAAAACCTGAAGTCTGCTAACCTGGCTGTAGGTGGTTTTGCAAGTACCTACAGCATTGGAAATGAAAGTTGGCATCTTTCCTTTAAATAAAAATGAATGAAAAAGGGGCAGCTTAAATGTTTCCCTATATAAAAGGTGTTTACTTTGAAGTGTTTACAGAAGCCTTTTGTTTTCTGAAATACAAGCAGAGCTATTTAGTAAGTCATGAGGATAGCTGTGTTTGTACTTGTGGATTTTTGGTGTTTTGGTTTTTTTTTCTTTTTTACATTATATCGGAAAACATTGATACAGAAATTAAAATTTCCCGTATGAACTACTGCTGGTTATCTTCATGTAACTAAACCATTGTTTGTAGCACAGGCATAAACAACTGACAAAGCTCTGAATAGTAGCATCCAGTTAGTGTCTCTCTTGTCTTTTTTTTCTTTTTTCTCACAGCATGGTTCCCTGTTCAGGAATACAGGAGCTGGGAGTATTCTGGGTGTACTTCTTGGTCTGAGTCCCGTGGGAGTCTGGGCATTTGCTCCTGTTGAAGTGGTAGATGGTTAACAGACCCAGGCTGTGGTATTGCTGGATGTTTACTGTTGGAATGTGCTTATAATGCTTATGATTTCAGTGTTGCTGTTCTCTTGTTTTCTTTATGGTTTTCTGTTGTTAACCTTTACCCCTCTCACCTCACCATTACTGCAAATGCAGGTTGAAGTTGTCACTGGGATTCTGTAGGTCTTTACTTTTGCCCTCTATTTAGGGCACAGATAGTTGAGAACTGAGGTTAATGATACTTAATCTTTAATTTTTCTTGTTATATACTTAGATGCATCAAAACAGACCTAGAATCCTGGTTTTCTTCCATTCAAATGTGTATTCTGTTTCAGCCTTCCCTTTCTTTTGTGGCGTAATATAAATGATTGGCCTTTTTTTGATAAAAAGCAGTTGTGCATTCCATAAAAAGTTTTGAGTAATTGCTGGTTTAAAATTTCCAAATGTTTGTATTTGAAATTCCAATGAACACAGCTTTCCAGAGTGAATGGAGATGTGAGATGCCAAAGGCCTGATCACTCGATTTAAGGCTGTGGTCTGCTAACCTGCTTAGCAAAACAAATTCTAGTCATATCTGAGCATCATTTTCAGGTGCCTTATTTCTCAAAAAATCTGGGACTGCTTTTTAAAGTCAGGTGAAATCTCTGATACTTTTAATTTTTTTTTAATCATTTGACCTAGGAACGAAGGTAACACTCTAATACTTTATATGGGGTACAAGATGTGCAGGAACAGAATTCCTGGTGATGCCTGTCCTATTTTGAACCATGTCCTTTCTTTTTTTTCAGCCCTGATCATATGGGTCTGCTTGACCCAGCCACCAGTGATGGCAGAGTGATTTTCTTCCTGCCGTGGGAGAAGATGACTATTGCAGGGACCACGGACAGCCCGACTGATGTCACTTCCCATCCAATACCAACAGAGGAAGATATAAACTTCATTTTGAATGAAGTACGCAACTACCTTAGTGCTGATGTTGAAGGTAAAACTTTGCCCACTCAGTTTTAACCTGAGAAGGTGCGGGTGAGTCTGTGGCATTTCAGTTTGAGTACATTCTGTCTCTCTCTGACTCTGATAACTGTGGTTCTTGTGCATCTGGGTGTTTCTAAAACTAGCACGACATAAGCATCATTGTGATCTATGTTTCAGAGCTATAAAATGATGCTTTTCCAGATACACCTGCATTCTGGCCTCTCCAGGTGGCAGATGAAAGGTTTTGCAGAACTGGAACAGTTCCATCATACATCATGATGAGTACATCAAATAATTCACCTGGCTTTTCCTGACAGAGAAGTTGTCCTGACTTTTCCCATGTCTTTGTTTTTATTTTCATTTTTCTAGGCACTTGATTCTTAACAGTTGACTCTGCTTGATAGGGTAGGTACCTAATAGTGCCAATTTTCAGTGCGAGAGGAAAGTGTGAAGGGCAAGAAGGAGACGTTATAAAAATTACTTGGAGCCAGTTGTTCCCTTCAGTGGCTGAGCTGAGAACACATTTGTTGTAAGAAGCTGGCCTGCTTTGACTTGGTGCTGGTTTAAAGGAGTGAGGCTTCTTTCTTTCTTAGTAATTTTTTATTATTATTTTTTATTCTGTGAAAACATTTATACTTCTGTATTTCTGTTGTATAGCAGCGTTAAAATAAATCTGAAGAGCACTCAGTTAGGAGGAACATTGCAGCATCCTTAGATTGAGGAAGACTTGCTGTCCAGAGATTGGAAATGCTAGATTATTTGTTTTCTGAAGTGGATAATTGATTGACCTGTATTGTATGAAGTTCAGAAGAAGTCCTCAGGAAATGTACCTTTAAGCTTTGTGAGCAGAAGTTAATGTAGGTAGGTGTGGTAGGACAGCAACGTAGCTGGTAAAGGTAAGAATGTGAATAAGACAGAGATTTCATAAGGTATTTTACAGAAGTACATTATGAAGTGGTTAATTCTTTTGAATGAAACCTGCCTAGGTGCACGCTGTTTTTCACATATGCAATTAGCAGTGTTTATAGATTGCTTGTTATTGAATTAACAACTGTGCTGGCCGTATCAACTCGCTGCAGACCTGCCTTTTTGCTGCCAGAGACAGTGCCAGGGTTATCAACTTACACAGGCTTGGATGAGTTCCAACTGTTTAATTATAGTGTCACGCATGCTGCTTTTTCTAGTTTCATTAGTTTATAAACGTAATATGGTATCTTATTTCTGTGATTAACACTTCATTTTGGCAGGTTAAACATGCTGGCAAAGCACCATTGATTTCTGAAATCTATTTTGTGTTCTTTGGGGGAAATTTTTACACCCTTTTACTGATTTTCAATTATCATTTATTTGAAAATTGTATTAAAAAAAAATGTTCCAAAGGCTCCAACATAAAGCAAATTGGTCAGTTTTTCCTATTGCAAATTTAATAAGCAGCAAAATTAATTTCATTAAAATCTATTAGTTTCATGCTTTTTTAAAAAAAAAAAAAATATATATATATATTTTTATTAAGAGACTTTCAGAGGCTAGGGTATTTTCCTGCAACTGCAAAAGGCTTTTGTGACTACCTGGTGCCTTCAGGCTCTCTTCCTCCAAGTTTACAGAGAAGTCAGAGTTGACTTTAGAGATATACTTGTAACTGGACAGGAAGCAGGAACAGCATTGGGGGTTTTCTGAGGCAATGGGTGAGTTTGACAGTTGAATCTCTCTTGGTTGATCAGTTACCAGGATATCTGTGTTTTGTTGGATTTTTAACCAGTGTGAAAAACAGACTTCTCTGACTTTGCTTTGGGCTAGAGAATATTACTGATACCGCTCAGGGCAGTGCTGAGTTTAGTTCTGTAGCCCAACTTATTCCATTACTTTGGAGAATCATCTCCAGCTTTTTGAGTTGCTCAGCTAACAAGCATGATGTGGTGCAGTCCTTGTTTAATAGCAAGTATCTACCCAGAGGCAATGCCACAAAGACCATGGGAGGAATATAAGATAAATACCCATCAGTTCCTGGCTGATTAGCTGATCTTTTGTTCTGGACAGTGAGAAGAGGAGACGTGCTGGCAGCGTGGAGTGGCATTCGTCCTCTGGTCACAGACCCCAACTCCAAAGACACACAGTCGATATGCCGGAATCATGTCGTTGCCATTAGCAATAGTGGCCTTGTCACAATAGCAGGTACTCTTAAAGTGGGAGTTTCTCTTAAAGTATAGCTTTGTTGGGCTTCCCCCAACAAAGTGTATTTTATTCAAAACTTTTTCTTGTTACAGGATAATCCTTCATGCTCCTCTAGCCAGATAATCATCTGCCAGTAGTAGTATGACTGGCTTGTTGGAGCAAGTCTAGTAAGAGTGATGTGATCTACAAAATATATATAGTACATAACAACTTGGTGTTCCCCTTGCTTTCCCCAAATAAAGAGGTAAATGTGTGGTTACAGGTGGGAAGTGGACAACCTACCGTGCCATGGCAAAGGACGCCATTGACGCAGCTATTGAGGCGCACCATTTGAAGGCAGGTTCCAGTAAAACTCTTGGACTGCAGCTGCAAGGGGCTGAGGACTGGAGTCCCACTCTCTACATTAGATTGGTCCAAGACTATGGACTTGAAAGTGAAGTGAGTCATGGTGTCTGTTGATGCTCTGATGTTTCTTTGTTGGAGGGTTTGTTTTTCCACTAAATCTAATACCAGCATAACTTGTTCAAAGGGCTGTTGAACCTGATAAGAGCTTGTTATCTAGCTGGGGGAAAAAAAAATAATGAAAAATTTTAGTAATTGTTCTTTTCTTCCTTTTTCCTTCCTCCTAATCTTGACTGTTTCCTGCTTTAAAATGTTACAACATCCTAGGATCTGTCTTTCTTTGAGCAAAAAAAAATCTGTACCTCAGATATGATCACAGCACAGCAGAATAGTTGGAGCATCATTAGTCACAGTTACACTGATACATACATAGTGGTGTCAGTGCTGGTCTAACCCGTTCTCGACACAAATAGTTTCCTCCCACACAATCAAAATCTAATACTGTCCTGGGTTCAGCTACAGCAGTCATTTTTTCTCCTTCTTAGTAGCTGGTGCAGTGCTGTGTTTTTGACTTTCAGTCTGGGAACAACGCTGATAACACCGATGTTTCTAGTTGTTGCTCAGTAATGTTTACTCTGACCAAGGACTTTCTCAGTCTCCTGCTTTGCCAGAGAGGAGGGGAAGCCAGGAGGAAGCAGAGGCAGGACACCTGACCCAAAGTGGCCAAAGGGCTATTCCATACCACAGCACGTCATGCCCAGTATATAAACTGGGGGGAGTTACCCGGAAGGCCCAGATCGCTGCTCGGGTCGGGCTGGGTATCGGTCGGCGGGGGGTGAGCGGTTGTGTCCTTTTCCCTTGTTATTCCTCTTATCATTATTACTGGTAGCAGTCGTGGTTTGTATTATACCTTAGTTACTGGAGAGCTGTTATCTCAACTCGTGGGAGTTACATTCCTTCGATTCTCCTCCCCATCCCTCCGGGAGCGGGGGGAGGAAGGAAAAGGGGGGGAGTGAGCGAGCGGCTGCGTGGTTCCAAGTTGCCGGCTGGGCTTGAACCACGACAAATACCCTCTTCAGCCTATTTGTTATTGGTGACAAGAGAATTGACAAGAAAAATGCGTGCATTTGATGTGCATTCAAAAGCCTATTGAATTTGTTCTCAACTCCATAGGTGGCTCAGCATCTAGCTTCTACATATGGCGATAAGGCTTTTGAGGTGGCCAAAATAGCCCAAGTTACAGGAAAGAGATGGCCTATTGTTGGAAAGCGTCTTGTATCTGAATTTCCTTATATTGAAGCTGAGGTATGTGGAAAAACTTCGTAATGTTCTCACTTCTCTTCTTTGGATAAGCAGGTTCTAGAGCAGGTCAGTCTTGCTCTGTAAAACATTTCCATAACCCTTTTCCTTTGGTCAGATCCAGATTTTTTTCTGTTCTTGTTTTTCTCCTTCCCTGGAGCATGCTCTATTTTTGTTTGTGTATATACATGTTAATATTTTTTTAAGTAAACATTTGTAATTACATATTTTTTATTTTATATATACATATTTGATGCCAGGTGCATTTTATAAAATGTCCCAAGGAACATTTTATGTTCCTTTATAAAATGTCCCAAGCTTTTCGAACCCTCTGCCTGCCTGAGTGGGAACAAGTTCGTTTTGAATAGCCAGCCTAGCAGCACGGTTTGTGATGCTAAACATAATTTCTGACAGTGCCCGTCTGCCTTCTCATCTGCATTCTTTCCCCTTCTCTTACTCTTCTAGGTTGTCTATGGTGTCAAAGAGTATGCTCGCACAGCAGTGGATATGATTTCCCGACGTACTCGCTTGGCCTTTCTGAATGTGCAGGCTGCAGAGGAAGCCCTGCCAAGAATTGTAGATATAATGGGGAAGGAACTTAACTGGAGTGAGCAGAAAAAAAAGGTACAAAGGGCCTTTTTCATCTGAAACTGTTTTGTTCTTCTTAAGTAGTTTCCATGTTAACAATCTAAATTAGTTGAATAGAAAACTTCAAGTGATGCTTTCTTCCCAAGAGAATGATTCACTTGGCATATTTCACTATAAAGACTTCATCAAAATAGCTGTGAAATGAGTTGGCATTGGCTGGGGGGTGCAGGAGAAAGTGAAGATCTGTGTCCTGTTCTCCAGCTTTAAAAATGAAATCAGACTTGGCATTACTATCCTATTCCTGTATAATTATTTTGTTTACTGACACTTTTCAACAGGTCTGACTCGGAAAAGGAGGATCTTGTAATCTGTGTCACTCGTTTTTGTCTGCTGTGTATTTTGAGAAGTGATGATATTGAGTTTGCATGATTCTCTGGCCTAAATTAACGTTTAAGGTCATTGTTACCTTCCTCTGCCCACAGTGGGTCTGTGCTCAGACAAACCATGTGGGACTCATCTTACTGTTACTTGCAGTCCTGTTAACAGGCTGTCTCTTCTAAGCTGGTTTCTGTGTGCCTGCTCTGTAGTAAAGGTACTTCAGTCAGATCACTTACCCTAATGTGCTGCATGTCTGCTGCATGTGCGTTGAACCGCACCCTACAGTCCTGCTTAGATCTCCACAAATTGACAGGAATACCTTGGATAACTAGCTTAGATGTAGACGTCCCACTTACATGAATCTTGCCCCTTCTGAACCATCATGTCGTTTAAGTTACCAATTATCAATTGTTTCTGTTGTCACAAAAAGAGGCTGCATGTGTAATGCTGTCCTGAGTATGGTGGAGAAGAGGCAGCGCTAGGAGTGCTGTACCCAAATGGGACCTATGGTTTGGGACTTCTTTCACTCCGAAGCAAACAGAACCTGTGAATGCTCACCTAGCTCTTCCACTCCAAAGGGGATGGGAAGTTTCCTTTGGACCTTTGGAAAGGGTTCATGAAACCCTTTAGCAAGGTAGAAGTGTGATTAACATTCTGGAAGGAGCTCATTTGAATCCTGCTAGCCAGAGGACCTGCTGTGGTCCTAAAGCCTCCCCACAGAAGTGCATAAAGAAAGGGTTATCATTATGCCACCGATGTGATCTGCATTGCTTTTGTGCATGTATGTTAAGCAACCTCACAGTTGGAGGTGCTTGACTGAACTCAGGTGTCTCACCCTTACCGAGCAAGATCTGCTCATGTAATAATTTACTGTATTAAAGAAAGCTGTATCAATTCTTCCATAACAATAGACTGGAAAATAGGAAGCTTTCAAAACAAAGAGTTTGAAACCAGCATGATGTTAGGGTTGCATGGACAGTCTTAGCTCCAGCAGCCATAGTTGAGGAGTTAGGCTCTGGTTGTGTTATCACTGTAACCTGCAGGAAGGAAAATAAACGCATACTGCATGCACCTGTAGGACTGGCTAAACCACCTGTGCTTGCATGAGCACCCTAATGCCAGCAAGACAATCTCTGCATTCCCCAAATGCCTGCTGGGCTTGCTTTTGGAAAAGTCTCCTTCTCTTTCAAATGAGGCTAAACCCTCACTGATTTACTGACCATCTCTTCTGTAACCAGTCTTGGCTATTTTGAAGTGCTACATTTTTACAGCAATCTTGCATGTGTTGTATTTCAGCTTCATGGATGAGGCAATTCAATGCCTATCCAGAAGAGCATGCTTTAATTTAGATCTTGCAGTAAGACCATTAAATAAGTCTTTGTTGGTTTGAGACTTTAAGGATAATTTCTGTGCTTGTATTGAACTATGTAGAAGTAGTAAGCCTGCATAAAGCCCAGTTAGTAGGAAGCCTTCATAAGGCCCAGTTAGAATTAAATCTGGCAAGAGACGTCAAAAATAACAGGAATGACTTCTATAGGTACACAGCAAATAAAAGACAGACTAGGGACAACGTGGGCCCTCTCTAGAAGCTATCGGGAGGACTGGCTACCCTGGATTTGGAGAAAGCTGAGGTTCTTAATGACTTCTTTGCCTCAATCTTCACTAGTAAATGCTCAGACCACAGCACCCAAGCCTTGGAAGGCCAACGCAGGGACTGTGAGAATGAAGACCTTAGGCCCACTGTAGGAGAGGATCAGGTTCGAGACCACCTTAAGAACCTGAACATGCACAAGTCCATGGGACCTGATGAAATCCATCCGTGGGTCCTGAAGGAGCTGGTGAATGAAGTTGCTCGGCCACTGTCCATAATATTTGAGATGTCATGGCAGTCAGGTGAAGTTCCAGATAATTGGAAGAAGGGAAATGTAACCCCCATTTTCAAGAAGGGGAAGGTGGAAGACCCAGGGAACTATAGACCAGTCAGTCTTGCCTCTGTGTCTGGCAAAATCTTGGCGCAGATTCTACTGGAAAGCGTGCTGAGGCACATGAAAAACA